CATGATATTCACGAAAAAGGATATATTCATATGAATATTCATTCTGGGCATGTTTGTATTAAACATAGTTGTTCACATATTATTGATTATTCTTCAACCAGGAAGGTCGATTGTATAGATCCAATCAACACAAATGAAATCTTACATTGTCCACCAGAATTAAATTCAACACTCGTTGATTGTAGCACAGGTAATTGATTTTGTCTGTTTTAACTTTATTCTATTAGCTATCGATATCTATGCAGCTGGTAAAATGATTGAGAAAATGATTGAAAAGGATATTATCAATATCTCAGACTTTCTCCTGTCGGAATTACGACGCTTGATACATAACATGGTCCAGAAGAACCAAGCACTTCGTCCATCAGCAATCGAATTAGTGAATAATGCGAATGTATTTAGTCAAGATACCAGAACCCTGACTGCTGTGATACCCTTATCACAACTTGCAAATCAAAAGATATTGGAGGTACTCAACTCCAATCCAATGGACAACTTGGATGTACTAAAATCCTTGAATGAATCATTACTTACATACATAACTCCAAGGCTAAATTTCGCTGCATACTATTTATTGAAAGGGCTAGAGGCTGCAAATACTTACTTTATGGATACAGAGTCCAAATATCGAGAAATGTTCATTACTAATCGCAATAATCAAATATTGAAAGATCCTTATTTGTTTTTAGAAAATGTATTTCAATATGACACCCCATACGTTTTTCGCCCACCCAAGTTATCTGCAAATAATATAGTATTTTTCGCACCAAGCACTGAAGAAGGAGCATCACAGTTATGTCCGAAAAGCCAGTTTCTGCGACAGTGGAATCATATTACTCATGGAATTTTTACCAATGTAGACACGACGAATCTATTCTTTGCAGGGGGTGCAGTTTTAGCAGCGTTACAACCTTTTGACGAAGATCAAGACTTAGATACTCAATTAGAACAATCAGGCTACTACAATTCCGATATTGATGTTTTTATGTATGGTATCACTTCCCCCGAGCAAGCAACATTACGAGCGGAACAGTTCTGTGAAGAAATTGTCATGCTATGTAATGGTGATGTTTTATTGTTAAGAACAGTACATACATTGACAATTATTCGACCATACCCGAAACGCCAAATTCAATTGATCTTTCGGTTGTACTGTTCACCAGCTGAAGTACTTATGGGATTTGATATTGATAGTTGCTGTGTTGGGTATGATGGAACAAATGTGTATGGATTACCCAGATTTTCCAGATCGATAATTACTGGATACAATTTGGTAGATATCAGTCGACGATCACCAAGTTACGAATATAGACTCTACAAATATTCTAAACGCGGTTTCGGAGTACTAGTTGAAGGTGTTAATCGCAACGATATTGATTTTGACTATTCACACATCAATGCAACGAAAGGAATTCATCGATTGATTGCGTTTGAAAGAGGAATGGCCGTGCAACTTAATGAACGAAAAAATGGAAAGACTGGGAGATGTTTCAAATATGAAAATGGTACCATGGTAGAAGTATCAATCGAAGATTCAGAAATGGCAGGTACGTGTCTGTGAATGAATAGTAACGTTAGAATCGTTTGTTGAATTTCAAGGAAATCAAGAGATCATAGATTTGGATCGAAGGGCAGAAAGATACCAGTTTAAATCATCAAACTACTTTTGCTTAAAAGTACCTCGAGGACCAGATTGGAGTTTGACCCGAATTAGAAACTATTTGTATCAGAGAAAAGTCAATGTGTACTATATTGGTCTAACATCATGGACGTTTGAACAGCAAGAAGAAGATCTTGAAGAACACTCTGAAACTGCTTTTCAACGTTATAATCCAGATGATTATGATACTTGGGATGAATCATTGTGTATTACATGGCTCTCTGGTGAAACTGAGATGGTGTTCAATAAAAGACACTTACTGGGAAAGTATCATGAGGAGGATAAGAGTGTTAAACCAGTATCAGTCGACGAAAGTTGGATTATCAAGAATCCTGGCCAACAAAACCTGGTTAATGGAAGTTTTGATCCCATTCACTCAACACTTGACGATTGGTTGGGACGGGGAGATATTATGTTCTCAAACTTTGAGCATTGGAAAAGAGAAGCAGAAAGGCGAACTCATATGTATGAAACTCAAGACCGAAAGGGCAAAACACTACCTGATGTTTACTGGGTAAGGGCAATTTAAAAAATGATTTTGGTAGGTTCTCTCAAATGCAAAGAACGTACCCAAGAATGCAATTCCATTGGTAACTAGGTCAAATGGTACGATTTCCTACGCAGCACGAACATTTGATAAGGTATGATTCTCCTAGTAATGTGAAAGGCAGGTCTTATAGTTGAGCAAGTTTGTTCATACAGTGATGCAGAATCAGCAAATTGTAATGATCATCAAGTCAAGCATCACTCAGAACTGGAAATATTGGTAGGTAAATCAACAGCCGTAGAGTGGTTTCAACCAGATTATGAATCCTTTATGCCAGTATCTACTGATAAATTTCACCAAGGATGGCGATTGGTGATTGGAGGTCATCAGGGAAACCAGCCAGTGTTCATTGGCAAAAATACACAAGGAGGTATCTTTTCTCTAGGTAACAATATATTTGAGTTAATGATAAGGTTTCTGCAATCACCATAAGAAGTGCTGGGAGAAATGTTGGGGTAGGTGGGATTGTATACGAGGCTACCATGTGTTGGTCTATTCTGATCAATAAACTTTATCTTGTATATCTTTATGAAATTACAGAAGCTTTTTTCTACATTGAAATCAAATTAATTGACTGTAATATAACATTGATATGTTGTCAGTTTCTAGAGAAACAATCTAGGAATTGGTTCCAAAGCTCATAGCTGTTATTAAAGAGTACAGAGATGTACAAGGAGTTACAACTTATAAGGGATTTGGTATCAAACTTTTGTCCTTTATCAGCCAGAGCCGTGTAGATAACACCAACACGTCAATCGCAACTATTAGTGAAAGTATGATTCCAATAACTAAGCACTAGACAACTCCGCTTCATTGGAAGCATTTGACCAGAATGGTAACTTCTTTTAACATGTTAAAAGTACTGTATAGTTAACGCCTTAAGGCGATGAAAAAAAGCTGTAGATGAATCGACGGCAAATGTACTACTAAATACGCAATCAGTAACTAATAATGTCAAAAGTCTCCCAAAAGCGTAACCTGCCTATATGGAGAAAGGTGATCTGGAAAGATGATTCAAATAGTAAAAGTTACGTATATATTAGTCGGTTGTGTAAACCTTTCTTCTTCAATGATTTCACTATTCCCACCATTCAGATAGAATAGAGAGTAAAACAATTTCAGATTAATTAAAAAAGTGGTTTCCCGAAGGATATGAAAAAAATTGGAACATCGTCCTTGGTGACTCTTGTGCACGGGGATCTTTAGTAAAAGGCGAAAGATTCATTCGTTATGGACAAAAGTCAGACGAGATGCCTTTTCTATTGTTCGCTTCCTTCTTTTTATACTCCAATCCTTCAAAGCCTCTTCTACGCCTCTTGCTCCCTTTTGATTGGTTCTTTTC